CTTCTCGCTGTGAGGCAACAGAGCTAACCACTGCGCCACCGTGCTGCCTCAGCTTGGTTTTTGACTTAATTAAATTAAATTCTTAATTACTTTTTTCTGTCCTCTGCCCTCATTTACTCTCTCACTTCTCTATCTCTCGGTGCCAGTCTCTCCCCTCTGTAATCCCCACTATAAACTGTCGGGACTCTGGCCATGAGAACCAAACCTTCACCATGACAACCACAACTTTAGGCATGTCCTAATGACTTCTCTACTCCGTGTGTGTGTGTGTGTGTGTGAAGCCCAGCTGTTGAACAGATGGAATGCTCACTATGCAGAAGATGAGGATCCAAGGTCTGTGCCCCTCTCTACCTCCATTTTCCTCTGTCCCCTGTGTTCTGCTCTGCCTGTCTTCGCACTGTCTCTGTCTCTGTGAGTGTTCCCTCACTTTGCTTTGTTCTCCCTGATTAGAGGCTTCTAAAGATGGGTATCATATCTCACTCTGTTCCTTTAGGCCAACACACACAAACACACACCCTGTGGCCCTGTATGTGTGTGGAGAATGGACTGAGTGAGTGGTTGTTGCCACATATTTCACTTTTTTTTTTCCAGGTTTTAAAGATATTTTTCTGTCCTTGTACAGACAGACTACGTCCATGAACCACAGGCCGTCATGCAGGAGGAATCCAACCTCCTCTGTGTCAGCGTGACTCAGATTTACTGTAACTCTTTTGCATGTGATGCCATAAATTTTAAAGTGCGTTCTTAAAAATTTTTTTAACTTGTAAAACTTGTATTTGAGGAGGACTGAGGAAGCAAGGAAGGAGAGTTAGGGAGCAGAGAAAGACAGAGGGAGAGGATAGAACCAGAATGAATTTCACACTATGTATTCATGCTGGAACTTCCAAATGAGCCACTGTTTATTTTCCTACTTTGTTTCATGAATCACAGTTGCAGTGTCTGAGTTATTTCAGGTGTTCCGGGTTTTGTAAATAAAAGTTCTGTTGATGTTTTTATGAAAATGACTGAAAGTTAAAGTACTTGAGAGGCTGAGATAGGTATGAAACCTCCCTTGTGGACTCGTCGTTAGCTTCTTGCCTTCAGCATGCAGTAGTAAACCTGTGTGTTCCTGTGTTGAGAGACATTGAAGACATAAGTAAATGAGAACTTCCAGAACCAGTGACTTTTACTTCACGAGTCTATTCCCATGTCTTTTGTTTTTGGACTAGTACTACAACCACTGCTACGTTGAGATGAGTGGCCGTGCATCTTCCCTGTGCCCTTTGATGATGTCACATAGGTTGTGTAATCCTTGCCTCATCTTCCTAAGCCCTCTTCTCCTTCATTCTTACTTTTCTCCTCCTTGCTGTTGATCCCTGGCTTGTTCTTTGTCTCAGTTTCTTTGTGTTTTTGTACTTATTCTCTTACCTGGACTCGTCTGTCCTTCACTGTCTCTGTTTCTTCCTCCAAATCCCCTTCTGGTCTGGTTTTGGCTCAGCATGCCCACCCCCCCCACCTTTCTCATTCCTCTTCCTTCCTTCCCTGCTGTCTCTTGCACTCCTTTGCTCTGTCTGGCTGTGCTCAGTAATCAAACACAGGCGGCTAAATGTAGACAGGATGTGAAGTCAGATGAGTAGAGGAAGTGAGGGTGCGTGGGCAGCACAAACAGAAAAGAGTGGAGGTGATGGACAGTGAAGACTGTGTGTGTGTGTGTGTGTGTGTGTGTGTGGCTACTCTGGGAACAGATTCAGTTTATTTCAGCCGTCATCCAACCCTTTGTTGGAGTGATGTTTTTAATCTTTATTATTGGTCTCCTGAAATAGTAAATAATTCACTTTCCTCTGTCACAAACTGAGTTTGTAGATTGACCAACTTTATTCCTAGTGCTGAAATCAGTTTAATTTGGTGTAGAATTATTGGGACTATACAGTACCTAGCAGAGTAATGTAACTATTGGATTTAGGGCCTTTTAAGGCTCCGGTTTAACCTAAGAGAAGTAGGGAGTTACAACTCTTAAACTAAATATTAGATCCAAAATTAATGTTATATTCTATATAGCTTCTAAAAGGTTTTGAGCAGGACTGACCTCTCTAACCACTCAGATATTTTCAATTATTTCTGCTTGATCAGTAAGTTGTTACACTCTTATTTGTTATAAAATTACAATAAACATCTGAAGAGCTGGGCAGAGCATGGTGGAGCGTAGTAGAATGTAGTGGAGCAGAGAGAGGGAGTGCTGGGTGGAGAGAGATTTGGAGTTTCATGCTGGTTCTACCTTAAGTTGCATATTGTAGCTTTAATTAACAACAGAAAGTAGTGCATTGAATGCCGTCTAGTGAATGCATGTAACACATTCTGTTTATGCATAGCTGATATCAATAGGTTAACAACACATTTTGAGAATCTCTTCTTGAGAAATAGACTCGTTTAGACCACCAGCCTCTGTTTTTTTATAAAACAAAGAAATGCCAGAATTGGATGTTTTTTTTTTTTCATTTTATGCTTATTTCCAATAAAACTGTGGACTTCCAGAGAACTTGTTCATCGGCCTTGGCTATTGTTTGAGTATTAACATCTGTTTTTTGAAAAGCACGACAGCTGAAATGATACTGTAATGGAATTCCACCTCTTCTTTTCTTAGTGGTGTTAGCTGCGGCAGACAAGTAGCTACAGGACTAGAGTATTAAACAAGCTATATTCTGTTCTTGTCACTCCACTGTGATGAATGAGTAGAATTAGCTGGGTCAGCTTGCTAGCTGACATGAGCCGTTCATGTCTGGTGCTGCAAGTCTGAGTCGGCTTTTATTCTCTAAAAGACAAATGTTCAGTTTTGTTCGTGTGGATGAAAGAGGACAAGTGTGTATATGAGGAATTCAGTAATGAGTCGGTGTGTCTAGCAGTGATACACAATGTGTACTTCACCTGTTGAACTCGCACTGCTAGCCTGCAACTCACACTAACACACACATGCACACACAGTAGCTTAACTCCTCTTCTGTCACCCATCACCAGTCTTCTGTAACCTGATACTAGGACTTTGAAGATCTCCACACACACACACACACACATACTCGCAGTCTCCCTTCTGCTGTTGCTTTTTATTCTGTCCAAATCACACGCTCGCACAGGGAGGTCAAACTGAGGTTGTGCTTCCATGACATCACTGCTGCCATGACTCATAAATGTGCCCCCAGGCAAAGTAAGGTCCTCTCCTCCACTGAAGCTGTCAGAAAGACTCAGCCACTCACACACGCACACACAGCCTCTCATCACTTGCTCTAGGTACGCAGTGCACTGTATGTGTGAATAGGCCTGTCTTTTTATTTTTTTTGTCCATGCATGTGTAAAACTGTGTTGATGCATACCCCATAGTCCCCTCAGTTCTGTACCATTTTAACACACTGATTGCACAGAACTGCTTTCATGCAGGTCTTGTGTTGCTGAACACCACACACGCACGTGAACACGTCCAGGGTGATTTACTAGTGGTCAGCTTCAGATGGAGAAAGCAGGCCTCCTCTGGTCGGAAAAATCTGTGGGCCTCTCAGGGGAGGAGAGACTTCCTTTACCAACACGTGCACGCGCGTACACGTACACTCGCCCTCGCCTTTCATAACAAACGCAAGTGTCCACTCACTGGACTGGCCTGATGCCTGCGTTTGCGTTTGTGTTACATATGTGTGTGTGCGCCCTTACAGTGTAGCAGTCCTCCCATCTCACATTCAAAGAGGAAGCCCAGTACCCCATAACAGAGCCAGCTGGTAGAGTAGGGAGCACAGCCCGGATCATGCTACAGACAGTAATGTAACCCCGAATAAGTGACCTGTCTGACATACTGGGGTGCAGAACGTGATTATTGACATTATTGTTTTAATGCATTTTTCATTGACTCCATTAATAGTTTATTTAGTCAAGTATCGGGGCAGTGGTGGCCTAAAGAAGGAAGCTTGTGACTGGAACGTCACCGGGTCAATCCCTGGACCAGCAGGATTAAATCTGGGCCGGTCAGGTGACAATGCCACGCTTATCCCACCCTCATTAACATTACTGTGGTGCCCTTGAACAAGGCTCTTAACCCCCAACTGTGCATGTGTGTAACTGGGTGAATGTAATCAGGGCATTTGTGCAAAAGAGGTGGCCCCTCAGACAATCTACTCTAAGTAAAGGCCAAAAAATATAGTGAGAAATACCTTTCCTAGTTAAAGCACAACGTTTGTCCAAACAACAGTGCAGAACTCAAAGACAGATTTGTATATTCTGTTCTGTTGTTGACCATCTGCAAACCAAAAGGCCCCTTTGTCAATGGTAAAGCTTTATTCTACTCTATGAACTAATGCTCCAGAGATAATCAACAGTTTCTTTGTACACAACAGAATAATCACTGTGGAATATGTCTGTATTTATTTATTTTTTTGCTCTGAGTCAGGAATTCATGACTAATGCTTTTTTTGCGGAACACTGGATAATTTAGTGGGGGTTTTACGCAGAGCTTTATTAATCATAACTTGATGAAATTGAAAAAAAAAAACACTTTCTGAAGAAAACAAGTGTTGCTTCACACACTATTAAACTTTTTTTTTTCAGATTATTTTTGGTTTTGTCCACAGATGAACAGACTATTAGGTGGAACAAATATTTTTAGTCACTATTTCGGTTGTCTAGATGCATTTTAGATGACTTTTTTTTTTTACCCTACAGGTGCAAACCTTGACTTACCTTGGGCAATAATGATCCATAGATTCCCAAATATCAAAATAACTTGGCCTGTAATAACTGAAAAACCTCTCCTTGTCAATCAGCAGCCTGCCCTAGTCTGTTTTAATCAAATTCAGAAATGTAAAGAATGTGCACAATAATGTGTAATTATGGCCCACTATGTGGCACAGATGCCCTTGGGATCTGTCCACACATTACCCACACAGTGCCAGCCTCTCTTTTTTTGCTGCACATTGCAGAAAAGAACCTCATGTAGTTGATTTTTGATAATGACTTCCGTTTTCTCTCTGTCGCTGTCTCCTCAGATCATGATTCAGAGGGTAAACGTGTTCAAGACTTGCTGTCTACAATCGACAAACCACAGGTTGGTATGCGTAGCTCTTTCCCACTCACACACAGGCAAACACACACAAAAAACAACTTTCATTAGTCACCTCCTTGTCTGATGCGCTCATAGTTGGCATGGGTTTTAATGTCTTTTCCATATTTTCATCCAGAAAATCAGATGCCTAGAATAAAAACAAAACTGGTCTGTGTCATTTTTTTAGGCTTTCATAACAGAGGGTAATTGAGCATTTAAGTTCTGCTCACCATGGCCACATGAGGGCAGCATGTGCTCATCCAGTTCACCGGCTTCTTACTGATCCCCTGTCAGCTGGTACACACTGTAGTTGCCTTTTCACTGCCCAAGCAGAGTGTGAATGAATCAGCTAGAGAAGAATTACTCGCTCTCAGTTAAAGCACTTTGGTCCGGAGGCTGTGCAACTGGACCATTTGACATCCTTTGAGTTTATTAGGGGTTGAAATAGACAGTGAGAAGAGAGCAATGAAAGAAAACAAAGTGAGATGCTGAGAAACACATGAAAGAGATGTACTGCATAACCTCAGATGACCTCTGTGCTGATACTGTCGCTTTTGACCAGTCATTTCTGTTTTGCATTTATGAGAGGCAGTAGTTTGGTTTGGGTGTATATAAAGATGGACAGTAGGTTTAACAGTCCTCCCTGTAACACCAAGTAGCTGTGTTCCATACAGGTATGGTAGCTGTGCTGCAGAGGCAGAGCGTAGATTTAGGTTGTATGAGAAAGTCCTAGCTTTTGCTTTTATAGCAATAAGGTCCATCTTAGTTCAAATGAACTGAATTGTGAGAAGCACTGATGGGCTAAAGAAAAGTAAACAGAAAAATCTATCATTTGCTGATGAATTCTGCTTTTACCGTTTTACTCAGTGCTTGATGAAAGATGGCGCAAACCAAGTTTGACCTCAAATAACCTGGATGCACATAAGAGCAGGAGATACATTTACCTGCACATAGTAATTTTATTATATTACTAATTTTGCTACTGCTATATCCAGTGTTGTTTACCTGGGAATGTATAAAATTCCCCCACACTGGCAGCATGTGCTATAAAGTAGATATTCCTGGCTTCCTGGATATTTGATTAAATGTCACAAAAGATCAATTTAATCAGGCACACTATAAAAAATCTTTTTAATTTTCGTTTTCTGTGATTCTGGATTCTGTGACCTTTTTTTTTAAACCACTATTTTAAAGGTGTTACAGTAGAAAAGTGAGGTTTATGTGCAGGAAATACAGCTAATGAAATAATAGATTGATAGAGTTCTTAAATTAATATGATAAAGTAAATATGATGATGCATTATCTGGAAGTCGTACTTTGGTAAGAGATGGCGGATAATTTGATTTGATTTGATTTATTCTTTCAAGCATGTAAAAACAGTTGATATGACAACACACATAATTTTACACATAATCCAATATCAATTTGCTTATACCTAGTACATGCTTGAATGGAGTAGGAAGAAGTCAGACTTATCCAGTCCTACCCCATGACATCATCTTACCATCATTGGTTTGCAAGCAGTAAATAATTCTCTTCTACACCACACAAGTAATATACTAAAAAAATTATAACAGAGTGTTAACATTCTTACATAACACCCACAATGTTAAACCTGTTCTTGCATATATCTTGATTGACACATACCTCCACTTATGGAAATACAAAATCTTTTTTTGGTTGTACGTATAGCATGAATTTTTAAATTTAACTGACCCCTTAAATTGTATCCCCTTCCCTTTCATTAAATAGTTTTTGAATTCCACCAGGTAATAAATTGTTCCTGGCTTTGTACATAAACACTGCAGAGGTCCATCTTAGTTCAAATGAACTGAATTGTGAGAAGCACTGATGGGCTAGTAATTAAAGGTCAGGACTAATTCAGCTTCACTGTGGGTTTCATCGTTCACTTTCATGCCATATTAACTGGTGGAAACAGTCAAAGTAGATAGGATGAGGATGGCAGGTATTCACATTTACAGCCCTTATGGCTGTATGTTAGCAAGAATAGTAGAGAATAAATGTTTTTTTTTGTAATGAGAACAATATGAAGGTGATTTCTGTGAGAATTGGGTGATGAGCGCTTCCTTACTCCAATGCTGCGCTCTACATAAAATGTAAATGTGCTGATGTACTCTAAGTAAAAGCCGACAGTGGTTATGTGGGGGGAAAAGAGTCAAAGGCCGACTCAAACAGTGAATAGAAGACGAGAACTGATGATGGATATACAGTGGACTGTTACGCCTTCATTTTCAGTGGCCTTTGCACAACAGACTGTCAGACGAAATATTTCTAGAT